AATCAAACAGGTTGCTCTGCCCTAGATGAGGTCGAGCTTCTTAACTATTGTTGAAGTTGCACTCATCTTCGCAAGTGAGGAGTATTCCATCATACTCCTGACTTGTACTTTGTAGACAGGCTTTGGTTAGTCAGGAGATGCATGCTGTAAGATTCTGAGCTTCTGCCCTGCTCTTGTGGCCAAAGTATTTACATGGCAAGTCCAGTTCTGTTTCTCTTCAATGGTAACTCTATCAGATATTAATAGTGGGTTTTTTTGAGGAATGTCAGAAATACTCAAGTTAAAGCAGATGAAATATGATTTAATCATAGGTTTCTGTTCCAGCTGCTTTTGATGCATCCACAAGGAAACTATTTAGCATTGAACAATTAGTCTGCTACTTGAACAAGTAGTCTCACAATGTTGAATCAGAGATAGTAGGAACTGCAGATGCTGGAGAATCCGAGACAACAAGGTGCAGAGCTGGATGAACACAGCAGGCCAAGCAGCATCGTAGGAGGGTCGAGGCCCGAAACGTCAGCCTTTTTGCTCCTATGATGCTGCTTGGCCTGCTGTGTTCATCCAGCTCTGCACCTTGTAGTCTCACAATGTTCATGTTTCACTGAAGTCATTCCTATGTGGGTTAGAGTAAAGCAAGACAATTAGCCACAAATATTCTTCTACATCAACCTTTAAAAATACATACCCTATCATAGTTAATAAGCTTAAAATTGAAACACACAGAGAAACATTAGAAAAGTATTTCATTCTTTTGCAGCAATGCAGTACTGCTGCAGTAAAATAGGTTCTTATAAATAGTGATGTTCAAATAAGGCACTCAGCCAATCATGATTCCCCACTCTTCACTCTCACCATGAAGCCAGGTAATGTAGTTTGTCTCTGGAAATTTTCAGTGCAATGTTGACAAAGTACATTTCATGCAGGTGATCAATGTGAGTAATGTTCACTAAAAGTAAAATATCAAATAGGAAACAGAACTTAAACTATGTAAATAAACTAATGTTATTTGAAACATATGGGTTAATGTTACAGTTTATAATTCTGAAATATGATTTGCAAACAGAATTTGGAAGCTGCGGGAATTCATAAATGTAATAATGAGGTGAGGTCAGCTCAGAAAATATGTGTTGGTTAATTCATATTAATAGCTTGTGAAATAATAGGAGACTTTAGTTTCTTGAAAACAAAATATTATAACAGTTTTTTAAGACTTAAATTGATCTGTATAGTTTAATTACAATGCAAGTTAATGAAGTGTCTCAAATACAATATGGAAATATTACAAAGTGTAAAACACATGTTAAAAGTCTTATCTTGGAACAAAAACAAAGTTGCTGGAGAAGCTCAGCAGGTCTGGCAGCATCTGTGAAGGGAAAAACAGAGTTAATGGTTTGGGTCCGGTGACCCTTCCTCAGAATATCTTATCTTGGAAAGTGTTTTCTCTTTACCAGAGGGCAGATATTCAGTGTCAGTGGAATGTCTTCAGTTCAAATATATCCAGCACACCACTAACGGTACTCTTCATTGCTAACAGAAACCAATTCAGCATACCAATTGGAAATGTTATAGAACAAGGATAAATTGTGCCTTCTTATTGTGACTTGAAGGCAGGATTAACAGTTAAAAATGACATTAGTTGTGTAAAGAAGTACAAACTTTTTATGAATAGAAATTATGGAAAGAATTTTGGACATAAATATCTCATGAATAGTTAAATTGTCTCTTTGGGGAGAATCTTCAAGTCAACCGGTCTCTCTTGCCTGCTGACTGGAGAGTTTGTGAAAGACCTGTGTTGTCTCTTTCAGGGAAGGCCAGCTGACTACACACATCAGGTAGTGTTGAGACCAGTTGGATCCAAGATGCCAGGGTTGCCTGTGGGCACACTCCACTCCCACACAAAGTCTAATGTCTTGATCAGGTGTTGCCTTTGATCAAGGGACACTCCCTTCTCAAGGAGACAGGTTTCCTGCAGGGTAGCAGAGTCATGAACAGCACGTTGTGACAAAACCGTCTGCAATTGGGTTAATCCTTGCGGTTACAGGCTAACACCTTTATATCATTCTCATTTAACCATTTAAGAGGCTCAATTGGCAGCAGAACAAGATGGTCAATGATGGAAGCAACGAATACTGGAGATCACAGCGGGTCAGGCAGCATCCATGGAGAGACAGCAAGCTCTGATGAAGAGTCATCTAGATTCAAAATGTTAACCTGCTCTCTCCATGGATGCTGCTTGACCTGCTGTGACCTCCAGCACTTGTTGTTTTCAGTACAGATTCCAGCATCTGCAGTAATTTGCTCCTACATGGTCAATGATGGGCCTTCCTGTGCAGAACTTAATTCTGGCAGAAGTGGCACAATCAAATACCCTTCCTCCCTCCAAATTCACCATTTCCAAAAACAAAAGATTTGATACTTTGCCTTTAAAAATATTACTGGACTGACATCTTTCCAATAGCACTATAAAAGTTTTCTAAACATTTTACTGTTATTTCAAACTTAGGTCAGTATTTTAGAAAAATCAGATACATATCAAAGAACACAATAAAAACAAGGGGAAAAATTTTACTTGGCTACCAAGCACTTGGAAGCGATCACAACTTTAGATAAAATTGTCACCTCTCAGAACAGCAATCCTGGATTACATGAATGGTAGATCTTTTGGAGATGTTTTAAGAATTATCATATTTTTCAGTAGCATAAAAATAGTTTCATTACTGTGTTAAATCAGAAGGTTGGCCTTGGGAAAAAATATAATGTTCAAAATACACAAGTACAACACCCAAGAGCCACATTTATCAGTGTTACACCAGAACTGTGGAATATCTAAGAAAAAAAGTAGCATATGTACATACAATTTTTACTATATATTTATACGTACATTTACTGTTTATCTTCATGATCAATATATAATCAAACATATCAGCAAAGTTTTGACAACTTTTTTTAAAGAGATCCTGCTTTGTGGCTCATTATGTTGCCTTTTCCTATTCTCCCCAAATCAAATTGGACTCCTACAATTTTTTGCAGTGGAGCTTCGGAAAATTCACATTAATTTCATCTCCAAAAATGCTGTCCATTTCACTTTCACGATAAAAAGAGATTTAGATGAAATAGAAACTTCCTTTCCAATTTTATGCTATTTTCTTCTATCTTTCTGTGGAATGATGTGTCTCTGCCTGGCAAAATTCATTCCTGAGGGAAAGCTTGAATGCAAATATCTGACAAAAATAGAATTTGAATGCAGACCATATTGTTGGAAGTCTGCAGTGATACACTATTAAACTGATGAATGGTGATTTTTTTTCTGCCTTTTTGTAACTACTTTAAATAGCCTGACAAATTCAAAATTTTCCATGGTTCTCCATGTAAGCAGCTCAAGTATTTTGCTAGTTCTAGTATTGCCAGTAAAAGGCAGCATGCAATAAGCAATATGTCCAATGTTGTAGTGCTCATACCTGGTTACCTGATGCATGACTTGTTTAAGTAACTTAATTAATGTGAAACAAAAACAGAAATTGCTGGAGAAACTCAGCAGGTCTGGCAGCATCTATGGAGAGAAAGCAGAGTTAATGTTAAGTCCATTCACACTTCTGTACAACTGTTTTGAAATTTATTGTATTAATCCTTAGTTATTCAGTGATAATTCCTTTATGAATTTGTGAATTTTTATTTAGTCATTTTTTTCACCCTTCTTCTATCTCTTCTTTATTCTTTTATTCTTAAAAGAATCCTTCTTTAAATGTTTTTCAGTAAAGAGGTTTCATTTTTGTATCTGAATATTGATAAAATAAAGGGGAAAGGAAAGCAATCTTAAAAAAATACTTATTTAAAGATTTATCAGTAAATATTTTAATTTCTCTGTTTTTATGAGTGTTGTTTCATCCTGGTTTTTAACAGTATTTATGTGATCAGGATCCTTGCTATCCTTATCTGTTGAATCGTTCCTGTATTTCTTACGGAAATTAATATTTTACTTTCATGTCTGATTGTATCTTTCCAGGCCTTTCTTTTTTACGTGATTAAACTATTATTTATGTTTTTATTGTTGAAAACTAATTTAAGTAATAGAATATATGTGTCATCCCTTTTTTATATATCCTATTCTTGATAGCTGCAATAGGGTTATTCATGTTTAATTACTACATGTTTCTTTATCTTTAAATGTTAATAACTATGTGTTTCTGCCCTATTTAGTTATATTTAATTCTCTATCAAACCTATACTTCCAAACAGATATTGTTACATTCCAAAATGAAATACTCACCATACCAATATCAAAGCAAATTAGTTGTGCAAAGTCAAAGGGCAGAATCTAATGCCCTTCCTCATGGTGTGTTTATTGGCTGGGCAGGTGAATTGGATGGAATGTTGTCTGGCCATCTTTCTGCCTCTGCCTGATGGCCGCTTAACGCAGTGGACCTTCCTGGAAAGTGAAAATGTGGAGCTCTCACTGGTTGTACAATAAGCCAGGCCCCTGTCACCTACATTAAATTTTGTCCTGGGTCAGCAAAAAGTATCCTCCAAATTTGTGAAAATAATTTAAATTAAAAATCTATCGCTATTTGCATTTCATAACTTCAAAATCGAAAAGGTGAGAATCAACTCTAAGTTTTATTTGGAACACTAACGATATTTCAGAGAGGTAGCCTAAAAAAAAGAAAATATTTGCCCTTTCAGTGGTGCATTTCAGGACATCAAGATGTTTGCAGGCACTTTGCAACCAATTAGTACTTTTGAAATGTAGTCACTGTTGTAATGCAGCCTATGAACTGAAGCATGGCTGTCACATTTAGCATATTGTCACTCAGCTTAGATTCACAGCATAATAGAGGGGGAATATGGGAAAGAAGTGATCAGAAGTTACATAAGGACTTTGGAGGTTCAGCCCAGTAATGCTACAGTATTACAGTTTCAAGAAGATCAGAGCAAGATTAGAGGCAACAAGGGATAACTCAGTTTGTTAGTGCCTTCCTGACTTTTCACTTCTAAATCTACAGAGTTGCAACTCCTTTTGGTGGTTTTGACAGAGCTTCCAAAATTATGAATTTCAAGTTACCAAGACTGGATTTTGCATTACTGGAACCGGAGCTAAAGTTGCCTGTTTTCCAAGATGGTACTGCTGGTCGGCCAAACTTCAACAGAACTGCTCAAGGTTGGACATCTAACAACGTTCCAATAATATTTGATGATCTGCCTTTGGAAGAAACCATTCCTGAAACAGATGACCTTTAAAATATTACTGTGCTCTTGATTATACAAACAAGGTATTTTTCTTCAATATAAATAGATAATAAAGCTTTATGTCAACACTTATGTCAAGCAAACAATAGTCCAAATAATTATAAACTGTATGTACAGAAATGTAAACCTCAATGCTCAATTTTTAGTCAAGTCAGAATTTCTCCACACCTCTGTAAAGCACTTTGATTAAACATCTTGTAATCTTGTAGTCTCATTTTTTGCAAATTTATTAAACAATGCAGTGTCTTTTGGCAAAAACTTACTGTTTATCCCAAAGAAAACATAGGACATTCAGCTGTCAACTAGAATGAAAATATTCCCCTACCTTCCTCTTTCTCCTTTTCTTTCGTCTTCTCTTTTGTCTCATCATCTTATTTTCACATAACAGAAACAAAAGCAGGTATTTTATTCTATGGACAGGAATCAGATATCAAGTGACTAACATTAGGTTTGATGATGAGTGTTAGGAACTCTAAAGTAAATCACGTACAAGTTCAAAGATGCTCTCATCCAAAATTCACAGTCAAATGGTTATAGAGGTCACTGGAGAGGGACAGGGATACAAGCCATGACTGCTTTTCCTTTCCCAACTCCAGTTGCTGTTTGGGGTGTGCTCTCATTCTCAGCGCATCTGAGGAATTTTAGCTATGTGCAAGGATTAAACTCAAAATTGTTTTATTTCTGTGGTTCAAGACCTCATTAGGCAGTGGAGATGTTTACAAAGTTTCAATCCAATTCTTTTTTCCAATAGGTTTCTAACCGTTGACTCACAATATTCTTGTTTAAGTGCCAATGAACTGAGTTAGCCCTTTCTTAACTGACTGAGCAGTTGTTATTGCAACTACGGTAGTTGGAAATATATCTGGTTCTTGTCTAACTGGGCGTGGTAGAATAGCATTACTTTAAAATATACTGTTGATTAATATTAAAGTGCAATGAGAGGACAAATTAGCTAGAATTTCAAAGAAACATCTATGCAAATACTGGAAGTTTTAGCAGATTGCCCTGCCTTTCAGCTTAGCATTAATTTTAGTCAGTGATATGCTTTGAACAATGATGAGAAGCAGCTAAAGTTATATTGGAGTGTGAATATTTCAAGACTTGTCACAGGATATGGAATGATAACAAATTGCTGTCCCAACTATAATCTTTTCACAACACAGTGGAATGCTATAATATTAACAAAAATAAATGATGCAATGTAACAAAATAAGAACAGAAATTATTATTGATCTGTGATGCTACTGTCACCATTCAAGAAAGCAGCTAGTAAAATTCTCGGGTTGTGTGGATACAACAACTCTACTACAGCATCAGTTAAAAGATGCTTTGCTTTGCACTGACATTAAAACAGTAGCATAGAGAGTTAGAATCTGACTTGATACTGCAGTAAAGAGGTGAGACCCTTTGGTGTGCAACAAAGTGTAGTGCAATTAGATCTTGAATCAATATTGGCCGACCAGTACAATTACTTCAGTCCATCAGAGGCATCCTCCAAAGAAACATCACTGATTTCCAGCGAATTACTATTACTGACATTAGAATACTATATTTCTGCTGCAGATAAATGACCTTCCTCATTTTGCCACTGGCAGTGAAGATTTGCAGATTATATAGTTACTGCACAGCTTTCAACAGCAATTTTGAATGGTTTATTAACTGTAGCATCCATCATCTGATTAAACTTAGTTGACGTCTAAAGGTTATTTATGGGTATTGTGGTTGGTTGAAAAAAATGCATTTTGCACCTTATTACAAATCTTAAGTTCTTAAAATGCTTTATATGTAATAAACTATTTTGAAGTGTATCATTGTTGCTATGTTCAAAAACATGAGAGTTATTCTATTCACAGCAAGATCCTGCGAACATAACCAACTGAGCCACTTTTGGTGATGTTAATTGAAGGAGCAATTTTAGCCAGATCACTGAAAGAACTTTTCACTGTTCTTTGAATAGTATCATGGCATTCTCTTGAATCAGCAAACACAATTCAGTTTAACATCCCATCCAAAGAATGATATTTTCAACAACAGTGCTCCCTTAATTCTTTCTAAACTATCAGCTTAGCTCTAAAATTTAAATGCTGGAGCGCAGCTTTAAATCCTGGTGCATTAACTTAGCACATAGATGAAGAGGTCATACATGAGTGAAGCTAATGTTATAGCACAGTTTAAACAATTTTCATTCCCTGGATCTGTGTGAAGTGTTGCATATCTCATTTGCAGCAATGCCAAACATCCTTGACTCACAGAAAACATCAGTGCCCCAGTCAGCACTTTTGTGTTATTTTTGACAATGATACCGAAGCAGACTTTTAAAATATATTGAAGATCGTTACTTGAAGAATAATTATCAGATTGTAACCTCTGACTTTTTCCCCCCAATGAATATCCTTGGTTTGGTCACATTTTGATTGGGTTAATTGCTGTTCTAATTGCTTTTGTCACCAGTACTTAGTCCAACTTGCTTTTTCCAAGCTTTTTGTTGACTAATTCAGATCATTTTCTTTTTGAGACCATATTAAGCCTAACGTTGGAAAGTTTTTGTCTTACCATTTTGTCTGCCATTCATGTATGCTAGACTTGTTTGTGATGGACTTGCAAGTTGTTGTTCAGTGGCCTTATCCTCAAAAACCACAAACCCATCTTAAAGGCAACAGAGATAACAAGGTATGGAGCTGGATGAACACAGCAGGCCAAGCAGCATCAGAGGAGCAGGAAAGCTGATGTTTCGGGTCTAGACCCTTCTTCAGAAACCCTTCCTGCTCCTCTGATGCTGCTTGGCCTGCTGTGTTCATCCAGCTCTACACCTTGTTATCTCAGATTCTCCAGCATCTGCAGTTCTCACTATCTCTTAAAGGCAACACAGTTAGGCCTGAGCTTCTGGGTCATTTTATGCTCAAATTAAATGTAATATCAAACTTGCAGTAAAAACTTTAATTGTCCACCAAGCTGGGATGTTTTCTTCAAGTATTTTCAAATCTTCACACTGCTGCAGAAAGAAACTTGACGTATCTGATCTACCTGTAGCAGATACAATGGGATTGTTGCACATAATTGAAATAATGTTTTGGAAATTTCTTTTCTGTATAGTATGCATTTTGGAAATATTCCATGTATTCCAGACCCTTCTCACCATTAAAAAGTATTGCTAGATAATCATTTGGTCATGCAAAATAGCAATTATAACTCCCAATGAAAACTAAAACATAGATGTTGCAAAGTGACTGGTTCTGGTGCTCTTTCATGCATGTATGGAGAAGATGAAATTCCTGAAAGAATGCATAACAAAACAGTTACTAAAGAAATGCCAAAAGCCTCCAAATGTAATTGGAAAAATCAAACTTCCACATATATTTCTCATGAATTTTTAAAAATCAATACTAATATCCACACAAGAACATATATAAAATGCTATTTCACTATGTTGATAACACAGCCACAGCTCCTTTATCATTCAGCATAAATGAATCAGTCTGTAAATGTATTTTTTTTCAAGTTCATAAACAAGTAGATTATCTAAAAGTATTTAATCAAAGGAGATTAGGCCATCATTGCTAGAACTCTGTATTTGGTGGTTAAATAATGTGACATGTTTATTTGAGTAAAATTGGCTCCTCAACATCTCAGTGTTTTAGTACAATGGTTTGTGTGCCATTGGCCTGGATTTCCCAATGGCCAGATAATTGTTTCTAAAGTGTAGATGTAAGTTGTGCATGGGGACCCTGCAGAATCCCTAACACAGCAGACTTGGAAGGAATTGCCAGGAAACAGAAGATTCCACTGGGCAATCCTCCTACACTTGGAACCCTCCAAAAGTATCCATTTAAATCAGAGAATTCACCTGCTACCCTAACCTATGGCACTGTATCCTCTTTCCATTTGGCATCCTTCCCACCTGCCAACCTTATCTCTTCACTTGGCACTTTATCTATCTGACACCAGCAGCTGGGTTTTAACAATTGATTTTCCAGCAAGTTTTGAATCTGTTTCCACCTGAGCTTCTTTTTTAGGGGCTCAACTTATAAGAATGCTGTTTTCCCATTACTGACTCTCTTACGTCCATATCCTGCCGAGTTAGCATCATACCTCCATAGCTCTAAAGATTACCTTGTACTTCCTAGATAATCTTACAAGATCTTCCTGTTGTCCTTCCTTGAAATATAAGAACTCATTGTCTCACTGTCCCTGTATTTTTGTGTTGGCTAATCAGATTGTAAGAGGTTTGCTTCAAGAACTGTTTGCCACTTTGTCTAGCTAAGGCTTACTGTCTCCGTCATTCTCCACTACTATTACCACCTGACACACTTGTTCCTTCTTTTCCTGTTCCCTGTGATGATACTGTTTGAAATTGTTTATATGACAAAACTGATTCTTTTTCCTATAATCAAATTAACTATCAGATATGTCAGCTTACTAAACTTCCTAACAACCCTGCATGGATCACTAAATTTCACAGTGTATTGAGTATAGGAGTTGGGAGGTCATGTTGCAGCTGTACAGGACAGTGATTAAGCCACTTTTGGAATACTACGATCAATTCTAGACACTTTGCTATAGGAAGGATGTTGTGAAACTTTAAACGGTTCAGAAAAGATGTTGCCAGGGTTGGCGGGTTTGATCTATGGGGAGATGCTGAATAGTCCAGGGCTATTTTCCCTGGAGCATCGGAGGTTGAGGGGTGACCTTATGGAGGTTTATAAAATCATGAGGGGCATGGATAGGGTGAATAGCCAAGGTCTTTTTCCCAGGGTAGGGGAGTCCAAAACGAGAGGGCATAGGTTTACCGTGAGAGGGAAAAGACATAAAAGGGACCTGAGGGGCAACTTTTTCACACAGAAGGTGGTATGTGTATGGAATGGGCTGCCAGAGGAAGTGGTGGGGCCTGGTACAATTACAACATTTGAAAGGCATCTGGATAGGTACATGAATAGGAAGGGCTTAGAAGGATATAGATCAAATACTCGCAAATGAGACTAGATTAATTTTGGATATCTGGTCAGCATGGACGAGTTGGACCAAAGGGTCTGTTTCCATGCGATACAACTTTATGACTCCATATTTCTACTCAACACAAATACCCGACCTCTGCATCTCCAACTACCGTCATGACATGGACCGCCTCAACCTCGTCACCCCTCTCGCTCACTCCAACCTCTCCTCCACGGAACACACAGCCCTCCGCTCTCTCCACTCCAACCCTAACCTCACTATCAAACCTGCAGATAAGGGAGGCACAGTAGTGGTATGGTACACTGATCTTTACATCGCCGAGGCCAGGCGCCAACTCTCTGACACCTCCTCGTACTGCCCCCTTGATCATGACCCCACCCCTGACCACCAAAACATCACCTCTCAAACCGTTCACAA